CTTTTATTTTATTTTTGATTTTATTAATTTTGGTTTTGTTTGTTTACTGATAAATAAACTGGTGCTTTGAATAATAACTATAAAAAACCTTCTGCTACTTAAAAAATTTACAGATTAATAAAGAACTACTTGTAACAATATAGTACATTCTACTTTATTTATTTAGCAAGTTCAAGCCTATACTATAATGCAGTGCATTATTAAAAGTGATCTTTAATTTAGGATTTCTTGACATAAGAGTATCTTTAAAATGAGAACTAGATATTAGTAATATCCTAACCCTACTTACTTCTATAAGAGTTTACTTTTGAGCCCTTACTCTAGAGTTTAAAAATTAATACCTTAGCCTAGCTTTTGTGGTATTATCTTTAGATATTTCTGAGTAGCCCAAGTTTATGCAGAAACCTATAAAAAAGTAATCTTATAAGAAAAGCAAGAAAGAATTATGACAAAGCTTAAAAGAAGTATAGTAAGAAGAAAAGAATCAAAACTAAGAACCCAAATAGATAAGAAAAGAAAAATATTACTTGTAGATAAAAAAAAGAAAAGAATAAGAAAAAAAAATTAGATAGTAATATTAGTAGAAAGAGTAGTTAAAGAAGGAAGAAAAAAAAAAAAAAAAGTTAGTAAAGTTTTCTTTGATATAGTTAAACAAAATTGTTCTAGCCATATGACTAGTATAACAAGTCATATCTGAGCACTTTAGTAGCAGCTAGATGATATCAAACTTAAGAAATTAAGTAGATTATATAATTATATATAACTTAGCTATAGCCATGGTTAACAACTTAATAAAGTTTATAATATAACTATTAAAGAAAAAAAAAAATAGTAAACTAATAAAATTCAATTAGCTAAAAAATAGCTTTAATAATAAAAAATAAAAATAAATCAAATATATATATATTTTTTTTAAAATATTATAATCAAGTTAAATCCAAACCTTATATAAGAAACAAGATTTTTTTCTTATAATAATAATAATAATTATTTGGTGCATAGTAACCAATAATTAATTTTACTAGCTAAATAGATTTACATAATAAATGAAAAGTTTAAATAATATTTATAGTGTATATATAAGTCAACAGTATTAAATTATATTAAATAACAATAAAGTTGCCTTTGAGCTTTTGCAAAAGCGTAAATAAATTTCTAAAACTAATTTTATTTAGTAACTAGTATTTATCGATAAATAAGCAATTTTTTTTTAATAGGTAGAGGAAAATATTCATCTCGTCCTCCAAATTATCAACTCTAAGATTTCATAGATTGTCAATATAATGATAGATATAAAAATCTTACTCCTATTAGTAAGTACCGTATTTTTGTTAAATAATCCCCAGGGGTGTAATTTTGAATTTCAATCTAATTCGGTTAAATAAAATGTGTTCTAATGATATTCGATTATTTTTCTGACCTTTATTTATCATTATATACAAGATTTCCAAGGTGTTCATTTGCGATACTCGTAGATTTATTTCAATTACCAACTCTGGATACAATGACCTCTAACAAACTTTTTTAAATATAGATATCACTTAAAACTGTAAATTAGTGATGGGACTACAGATGCTAAAAATTCAATTGTCACATGCCGTGATCTATTAAAAACAATTTGATTCTTTATAAATTATTGAATGCGATAATTAAATATCACCTATTTTTAGCATCTGTAGTCTCATCACTACTGTAAATTATTTTACAATATCAGGACTTTTAAACTTTTAAAAACCCTAACGCTAATAGATATAATAACTTTAAATAGTAATACCCGGTCATTAACTATCGATTATGTCACATAGTTGACGTAATCAAGGTATTGCTTTTTAACCAAATACTTGTGGCTTAGTTTGATTAATGATACGTACGTACGTACAAGTACTCTAAACTATAAATTGTGTAATTGTTATTCCCACACTTTGGTATTTTGATTGGTATTGTTCTTTTTTACCGAACTAATTTTTACCTTCGAATTTATGCTGTTACGGTGTTTGTCAAATGAATACACACATTTTGTGACAGACAAACTGCCTAACATCAGGGCGCTACACACCTTATAAAGTATGTGGATCTAAATTATTTTTACTATAGGGTTTGAAAACGGTAGTAACATTAGTATTTCAGTTTATACGTTCTCAAACTCTAGAATAAGATTTATCTCGTACAAAGTGTATTCTTAAATACTGATGTGTCCATTTTATCATTTATATCGTTAAAACGACAGTATCTTATCCCGATTTCTTTTTATGCCAAGACCAAAAAAGATCAAATTCGATTTGATTAAGGATATAAAAATGTCCTCTACTTGTGTTGCTGAATCTTCTTCTTCTCCTTCTATCACTTCTATCACCCTTACGGCATCCGTATCTACTGATGTCCCTATTGCCATAACTATTCCCCCTGAAATATTCATTAAAATATGTGAACATTTGCCTCCTTCTGATCTTTTATCATTGACTGGTGTTTGTAAAAGGTTTCGTGGATTCTTATGTTCTCCAGAATCTTTAATAACACAAGATATCTGGCGTACTTCAAGAGTCTGTTTCTTACCTGGCCTTCAATTGCCTCCTCCTGATGGAATGTATGAAGAAGAATACATTAGATTTGCAAATTTGTTGACTCGTTGTCAATATTGTACTTCTCAAAAAATGGTCAAAGTTTATTGGCAATTCTTGGTTAGATGTTGTCAAGAGTGTCTATTAAAAAATACAACCCCTATCATGTAAATATATATGCTTATAAGTTTTCTTTAAAAAAAAAAAAAAAAAAAAACTGCTTTACTGATAATAATTCGTCTTAATATATTTATTAATTTATTATAGTTATAACAAAGATCATAATTGGATGACTGATAGCGTTCTCACTGGCTTAGTTTACGTTAGGCATAACAATCAAATTCTTTTTTGGACGCCTGATATAAAATCATCATATAGAGAATATGAAGTCATTAGCGGCAATCACTACATGAAATGGATTGCCGACCGAAAATCAAAACGTATCCGTATCATGGATGATGCTGCTCAGCGTGATCAAGCTGCTGCTGCTGCTGAAGAAGAGAGTAATAAATTATTAGGTGCTGCTACAGCTGATACCACAACCAATATTGCAACTGTCAGCGCATTAGGTGTTGATGTTGATCCAAGACAATTTGCTCTCTCACAAATCCGTATCACTGGTACGAGGTCAAGTGTTTCTTCAGCGGTATCAGCGTTACAACATTTTAGTCATATCGATACCCTTGACATTATGATAATGGATTCCCCTTAATTTTTTGTTCAGATGGGTAAATTTGGTGACGTAAAAAAGTTTAACATACGTTAGTTGATTCTAATGTTAGTTCCTATGGATTTATTTTTTGAACTGATGGTGAGATAGTCTTTTTTTCTCATTTATTTTATTTTTGCAAATTGTTTTGCATATTTCACCCTATTACTTATATATGTTAAGTCAAATACTTTTAAAATAAAATTATATATTGTAAACAAATTCATATAATTTTTTCTTAGAATTAAATTTATGTACTATTATACTGTAGCATTTTTTTTTTTTTTTACCGCGATAGTTTAGCCAGATTTCCTATTTGTTTAGATATTAGGTTAAAGTGGTTGTAGTAGGTGTATTTATTGCTCTATACTTAGCTTGATGATTATCATCGACTAGATTTAGAATTGCTTTTTATTTTTTGAAGAAATGCAGAAAAATTTTTATATATAGTATATATATCTGATATTTATTAAAACTTTCTTTTTTTGATTAATGTATGTAAGTTATATACAAAATAATAAAATTAGTAGTATATTTATTAAAATAAGTATTTTAATTTGAATTACAGAGTTATGCTTATGGTAAGTTTTATATTATATAATAAATATATAACTGCTACATATACAACTTTAATTATTATTTTATTTAAATAGTTTACTATATAGATATTAGATTATCTAATTAGTTTTATATATTTGTTTGAAAGTAAATATTTTGATTATTAACTTATATAGTTACTAACTAATAGTATTAAATTAAATAATTATTTAAGTTAGTTTTTATATTTAGATCTAAATTTTAGCTAACTTAGGTTGTCTTAAAATATATTTTACTAATATATTATAAATATACAAAACTTTGAATACAAACTTACTAGAATAGTTTATATTTATTTTATATATTATTTTATTTATAATTCTTGTAATATTTATATAATTTCAATTTGTTTCTTTTTAGTTACTTTTGTTATTTGTTTAGCTATAACTTCTAGTTCTGAATTTTTTGTTTTAGTAGACTTTAATATGTTTTATAAGCTATTTAATAAGTTTTCTATAGGCTAGTTTTTAGCTCAAATTTTGGTAAAATTGATCTATAAAGAGAATTTTTTTTGTATTTGATTAGTTATTAGATTTAGCTAGTAATAACAATCTTTTTTAAACTTATAAATTTGTTAAACCTAATTACTATATTATAATACTTTATCAAGA